CATCTTTATCCCCGGGCTCGACGGATTCTTCTACTGCCCTGGCTATGGATCTGTCTCCTCTCTTGGCAACGGCTGAGTGAGAGGAATCAAGGGTTCTACTTCTGACACTTCCAAGGGTGGAGGTGCTGGCGGTACTGCAACATCGGTTCTCCTTCTTTCTGGCGGGTGGATAGGGATCCCCTCCACGATCAAGGGATCCTGCCGTTTAGCAGCTAGCGTCCTCCGCTTGGCCCTGGTGACAAGGTAGGCCTCTCCCAATTGATGGGCATGTCGATCTTCAGCCTCCATCAGAGCTTCCGACATGGCAGTCTCTCGACTCTCAGCGGCTGCTGCACTGGCATGTTCGGCAAGCTGCACTTAGAGCATCCTGGAAAAGATCTCAGTTTCCTCGGCTCACCGAAGGCACTTCCTCAGCTCTGAGGCTTGCCGGTCATATTGCTCATCCAGAGCAAGCAGGTACGTGGTCAAGTGCATCGCGGTAGGACTATCTTCTTGCGCATCTTGCCCTTGCAAAGCCTTCATGCGAGCCCTCCATGCCCGTCGATTCTTTTCCAAAGGTGGAAAGAACCTCATGGGGGTACGGGTAATGGTCTCTTCATAGATCTGGCAAAGGTACCGCAAGGCTTTGCGGGCCACAACCTGGTAAGTGTCGACGAAGCGAAACCTGATTGCGGTCACATTCCAGGCTTCAGTGATGTCGGGGAACTCTTCACTCTTCTCAATGTAGACGGTAACTTCACACCGCTCAGTGCCATGCTTTTCATACTCACGGCCCTCATACTCGGGATGATCTTTGACTCCGAGCTTTTGTAGGGTGGCATACAGGATGTTGGGAAAACTCTCAGTGTTCAGGCAGTAACTACTAACCCAGGCTCCTGCCATCGTTGGCGGTGATTGCAAGGAAGGACTGAGCAAAAAGCTGGCTTAAAAGGAAAAGCTAGGCGAGCTAAAGTGCACCGGGTGGTGGTACCAACAGCTAAGCCAGACCCTGCTTATAAAGGCAGAGCGATCAGTGTTCCTGACGCGGTCCACCAAGGTTCCAGCACGAGATAACTATAAATGAATTGACCGAATTTTTCGCGCGTTCAAGGCGAGCGATGTCCGAGGCCATTAATGACTAATACGGCTGCAAGACAAGGTTCCGATAAGAGCCCATAAAAGAGTATGGGGAGACGCGGGTCACGGCAGGCGTGAACCACAGGCGACACGAAGCACAAAGCAACAGTTTAGCATTAACTCCAGAACAGGAACGAGTTAGGCGTGCACCATACGACACGCGTGACACTTATGGATGGCGTATCTGCAAGCAATACGGGCACTACAATGCACAAACAGGATATGCATGAATGCATGTCCTATACGCCCTTCTACTGTTGCCAACATATAGGGCAACCGTTCTTAGATTTTTGGCACACCGATCTCTCTCTGTAGCTAGTCCATACTATCGGACTATGCTCGGGGTCAGTGTACCTGCAGAGAACTTGATTAAGCCTACCTAAGTCAGCAGAGTGCCATCTATCGTGGATACATAACCATAGTAATAGGGCTACTTATATAACTTCGCATGCAACGTCCTAACTTTTTGAAAAGAATTTGTTGTCAAGTTTTAGTTTAGAAATAGGTTTCGAAGTTTTATTTCCTCATTTATGTCGATGGTGCTGCTTGTAGTGTAGGGCACACGAGCGGTGCAAGGAAGGCAGCAGATCTTCGGCCGTAGTCCGCAGCGATCGCCCTAATGTTTGCCATGGTGAGGTGGACACGGAGGTGCTAAGGGATGATGGGACACTGCACGGCTGGAAAGTTGAACTTGCACGGCTAGGGAGCCATATTAATGGCGACCAACCCCAACTGGAGCAACGTGCACGTAACCCAAGCCGTCTCTTAGATGCATGTGTAAGTATAAATGTTCCTGCATGGTCGGTGAATTATTTTTATCTGATGGTAAGGAGGAGAGGCACTAAATGTGTCCACCTACCCAACTTATTTTTATGTGATGGTAGCATGGAGGAGAGGCATTAAATGTGTCCACCGACTTTCGACCCACCCTGCGTAGGTGAAGATGTCCAGTGCTTTCAAATTTACTGAGTGAATTTCTGGATAGCTTAGGGAGGCACTCGTCATCTTGTTTTATATACTTTGCACGTTCAGTTTATTGCACTCCTCGTATAAATTCTCCGGAGACCACCATTTATTGCTTCATCTTTACCGTGCTTTTTTTGACGGGTCTTTACCATGTTTTTAGTGGATTATAAAGCTTTATTCGTGGACAATTTTGAGTGTTAACACTTAAGTACTCTCTCCATCCTAAAATGAATATAATTCTCACTTTTCAATATGTCAGACAATTTTAAATTTAATCAATGAGATAGAGGGTGTGGTTTTAAAGACGTGGCCAGAGATAGCGTGATGTGAACCTCAGGAATTGCCTTTTACTTTGTCAGGACCATACAAAATCTTATAGACACGGTTTACGTTTGCAAGGCGTTGAAAAAGTTAGTCCAAATTTGGTCACCTCTATTCTTTTTAGGTTCATACTTTGCTACTTGCGGTCGGGGAGGAGCTGTGCCACCGGTGCTCAGCTTCTCGCCATTAATGGTGTCGTTGTGGCGCCATGGCTGCACAGGACGATGGGACGACGCTGCAGGTGGGCGGTGCGGCGTGTAGCCGGGGTGGATGCTCGGCATGCATGGCCGGTGGCTCGTAGCGTGATGGTCGGCACGCATGCGAGTACGAACCGCGTGCATGCTGCTGAGGCCTTTGCTTGTGCCTGCATGCTAACTTTGCATGGTGCATGCAAATGGACGGCGGCTAGTTAGCGTGGTTAAAGGTAACAAGGTACTGTTGGTGCATGCGTGGTAAATGTGGTGGTTGTCTGTGTACGTGCTTGCCTTGCTCTATTTACTGTGCATATACGGTTGTGCTGCTGCCATGCATGGAGAAGGGAGATGGAGGGAAGGTGGGACCCGCTGTCGTGGCGGCGTGCGAGCTGCCACGCCGACTCAGTTGGGGTATAATTACACAAAGAATACATGGCACAGACCAGCGTACATACCAACCGGTTCCGGACGTATACAGGCGCACGCATATGACGGCACCTGTTAGCTTTCTCTCGCACGCCTACATGCATGCATGGACATACACAATTGTTATTAGCTTCTTTCCTTACATGTACGTGACAAAAGCACATGTATCTCCGTATATGTATTTTCTTTTTTTTAATGCTCGGTGATACACACAAATACACGTGTACACGTGGATTTTAATTTGACAAAAATCCATCAAACAGAAGGGAACGAAAAAAATGTTTTTCATCCTCAGATCCAGCGAAAGGGAAAACGAAAAAAAGTACACGATTCGAAGGACCAGGAGAAGGAACCCATGTAAGAACCGCATCAGGTGGCAACGATGAGCAGAGAAAAAGCACCACCTGCCACCAATCAGAAACAGAGGGGAAGAACGCACAAAAACACAAAGGCAACACGGAAATTAGCAAAGCTCAGATCCGTTAACCAAAAATCCAAACAGCACCAATGGCAAAAGGAAAACCCACACTGTTTTAAAAAAAAGGAAAACCCACACAAAAACAAAACATAGAGCTAGCCCCACGTCAGAAGATAAAGGGGTGTTTGTTACCGAGACTAAAGTTTAGTCCCTGTCACATCGGACGTTCGGATGTTAATTAGAAGGATTAAACATGAGTTAATTATAAAACTAATTACAGATGAGACTAATTTATGAGATGAATCTATTAAGCCTAATTAATCCATCATTAGCGCATATTTACTGTAGCACCACAGTGTCAAATCATGCACTAATTAGGCTTAATAGATTCATCTTGCAAATTAGTCTCAATCTGTGTAGTTAGTTTTGTAATTAGAATATATTTAATACTCCAAATTAGTGTCCAAATATCCATACGACATGGACTAAAAATTAATCCGTGGAACCAAACACCCCAAACTCTATGGAGGACATAGAAAAAAAATTCGGAGGACACAGGCAACAAAAAGAACCGAGGAAAAGATAACGTCGTCCAAGGACAGAAGCTTGGAAATGTATCACCCCGTCGGAGTGGAGGAAGAAAAACCAAGGCACCGTCTGCAGATCTCGTCCGCTGGGCTATGCTACTTACGGCTGCAGCTATGGCTGCGATAAAAGTGCATCGTCGTCCCCTCTGGCTCGGAGGGAAACAGAAAGAAAAAAAACACCCAGTATGTGCAGCATAGGGCATCGTTGGCACAAATAAAGGGTGTATATATGGATACTGGGTTTTGGTTGAATGGATAAGCTGAATAAGGATATCCACAATAACGAACATTATGAGTAGATGCTGGATATCGTTGCCCTAAAATATCGGCTGGATGAAGATATCCACATGTTGATTAGCGCATATTTTGTGTGACAATTAGAGTAGTATAGTGCTAGTTAACATATTTTATTTTTAATTAGTGATTATAATGACAAGATTAGTGTCGGTGCATATTTATTAGTGTACAATTAGTTGGTATTATTTTTAATCATAGATATAATTAGTCAAGTATTCTCGTCACATCCAATCTTATCCATCCAACCAAACAAAAAAATAACTCGCTCCATCCATCCAACCAAATAGACAACATAGATATCCATGTCCCAAGATCTCCCATCTACCCTTGTGCTCGAACCGACCACCCCCCCAATACCTGCAGGATAGGACGTCGATGGCGCGGCGACGCCACTCCGTCAGTCGATTCACCACGGACGGAAGAGGAGAAATAAAAACGCCTGGCACAAGCATACCCAGTGAAAACAAAAACACATAGCCCAACAACGAGGACACGAATTGACCAACAGAGGAAAAAAACACAAAACAAGGCTCATAGATCCGCTGTCACAAACAGAAGGTTCATCGACACACACACAGCCAGCATCGAGGATACAGAGGACCCCAAATCAGATGAAAAAACAAATCAATACTCCACCTGATCTAGATCCAAGAGGAGAGAAAAAGAACATTCCCGTCAGGAGAGGAGAAAAGTGAAAAGGTCCAGACCTTCTCGGAGCTTGTGGCTCCTCAGCACTGACCCTCGGATCCAGCCCACTCCGCCTTGCCCTGGTAGGAGGCAAGGCTGTGGGAGGCGGCGCCACAACAGTGGAGGACGGCGTCGAGTAGGTGCGGCCAGCCGACGCGGATAGCACGGTGGCAAGCCTCGGCGGGTCGGAGCGGACAAGAGCTGCAACTGCGGCGACGCAACGTAGTGCTGCGCCGGCCACTGGTGGTGGTGGTGGTGGTGGTGGTGGAACGCCTCCCCCTGCAGCGCACAGACAGCTAGGGGCGTGGTCTGGCTCTCCACGCCATGCTCGACCTCCATGGATGTGCCGTCGCCGTCCTGAACAACGTCCACCATTTCCGCGGCGGCCGCTATGGAGCTGGAGGCGGCATGGGCATGGACCTTGGCGGGCGCCCACGGTACCATGGCCAGGTTAAGGTTCTCATCCCTGGCGGGAGAGCTCGGCACCTGCGGCGACGGCGCGGGGGCGAGCGCGGCCAGCCGAGGCGACTGCTCGGCGCGATGAAGATCTTGTGTTCAACTCACTGTCCAGTCAAACAGTGGAAAATCAAGATTTTCGCTTCACATATACATCGACCAAGAAAACAAGAGGAATAGTATTCAATAGCTACTCACTTCCAGGGGACATCCCCAACCAGCATCATATATAATATATATATCACCTTCATGTCGGTGTACACAACCATCCATTCCTTGTTAGATCCTTTCAGCTGACCTTTGAAGTCAAACATCTCATCTAGCTCAGCAATCAAATCTGTGTAGCCATTGAACTTTATAAGATCCACAGACCTGTCGCGCTTCCTTGCCTGTGGACCTGAAATGAACGCCAACAATCACAGTTAACGTTTCATCAAAAAAAAAAAGTAATAGTTAACAGTGCATAGAGCCACAACATACAGATGACAAACCATGCAGTTCCAGACAAGGAGTAAACTGCAAGTATATATGCTTAGATATTGGATACAGCCATAGCATTCCAGATAGCATCTAGCATGCAGTTCTAAACAATGAGTAATATGGAAGTAATGGAGATTCAATTATGTCCGCACGGCTGCAATAGGAAATTAGCAGGCTTTGGAAGTTCGTCTAGCTAGTGCACTTGAACAATTTAAACAAACATTAATGAAGGGTACATCAGAAACTATCTTTACTGAGATTAATCGGGGGCACAATGTAAGAAGGATTTACATGTAGCTCCAATATGCCTGCATTCGACAGACCTTAGCAGAGATTAAAAAGTGGAGACGTTGGTACAGTAACAAGGAAAACACACCTTGCAGCTTCTGGTTTACAAGAATCTGTACAATCACTCCGCTCCGTTGACCCCTTGCATCAGGAAAATTACGCATCAGGGATCATGGGAGGCAAGTATTCCAAAATCAGAGAACACATGATTAAAAAGGCACGACAATTTAGAGATGCACCACAGCTCCCATGGCATCAGATCAAAGGGAGGCCAAATAGAAACACACAACATCCGCACAGGCAACCAAGAATACGATAAAATGGAAGAGCAGAACAAAAAGATCTGTAAAAGAAGGAAAAACAATGGAGAGGGCAACACCTCACATATGCACCGCCGCCCCCATCTATTCGTCTTCGTAGCAGAGAAGAAAGGAGGACCACAGAGCCCCCATCTCTTCGTCTCCGTATCTTGGCTCAGTTTCTATGCAGCTAAACGATGTGTCCTGCAGACCTATTACCTATCAGGACCTGCGTTAAACAACACACATCAGTAGAAGTTCAAATGAATCAGAGAATAGGTGTTTAAAGAAGCTACAGTACCCCCTCGACATCAGTTGGAGCAATAGGCCGGTTTGCGGCGGCAACCCATCTGTGAGGTAGCAACCAGCAATGGAGCTAGTGAGCAATGGCGAAGTCAGGTGTCCAGTGACAGCATCTTGAACAGGCCCGACCCTAGATGAAGAACGAAGCAAATTTAGGAAATTCAGAAAGACAGGGGGGCGTTGCCTCAACACGACCCTAGATCAAGAAGTCAATCAAGAACCAATGCAGATCAGAGGGAATCAGGCCATCAGGGAAGCTAGGCTTAGGGATTTGGGGGAAATTGCAAGAGGAAGAGAATGGAGGCCGGAGGGGAACTAGGTGCTCACCAGGTCTGCTCAGCAGTTGGCACTCGCAAGGGAGGGGGTGGCGAGGCGGTGGCGGTCGGCCTCTGCAGGCTCCGGTGTTGGAGCTGGCAGACAGCGCAGGCAGAGACCGAAGCGCGTCCGCGTCCGCGGTAGCGGTCCGGCTGCGGTAGGGGCGCCTGGTCGGACACGGAGGCGCCGAGGCGGGCGGCCGCCGACCGGGCGTCGGGCGTGGCAGCGTGGGGCGTCCGCCGGCCGGGCGAAGCGAATCCCCGCTTGCGGAGACGCAGAAGCGAGGCGTCTAGTCGGGACGGTAGGAGGCAGCGCCCCAAGCTTTGCCACGACAACGTACCCGCGCCAGGCCATCTCGGCGTTTGGGAAGGCAACCTCCTAGTGATTGTTGGCGTCGTTGACCACGCTCGGCACTCGTGCGTCTGCACACGCGCCATTGGCCATCATCGGCGCGCCTAGGAGGAGGTACCTGCAAGCATAAGGGTGCAAGCCTCCAGCACGACGAGCAAGGTCGTCTCCATCACTGTAGCGTGATCCCTCATGTGCCCCCGACGGCCACCGCAGCCGGTAGTCCCAGAGCCGCACGTCCTCCATCCAGGGCCCCGCTCCGAGGAAGGAGGGGGTCGGCGACGCAACCGAGTCGTGTGACCACGGCGGGGGCTGTGGCCCATGCGGCACGCAGGAGCGAGCTCGGCACCCACAGCGACGGCCCGGGGGTGAGTGCGGCCAACCAAGGCGACGGCACGGCGCAAAGCAGCGGCGCGCGGTGGCAACCTCGGCTACCCGCGGACGTATCTAGAGCAAGCGCGAGCAGCGAGGTCGGCGGCTCGCGATGTCGGGAAGCGCGGTGCTCGCCGCCGCCGAGCTTGGGGCCAAGGCTCACGGTGTCGGAGCTCGCGGCATGTCTTGCTCCCAGCTGCGACCTCGACCACCGGCGGGTGAATCCGGTGTTTAAGCAGGCAGCTGGCGAGGGCCCCTCCCTCTCCCTCTCCCTCGTTTGGCAAACGTATGGTGATGTCAGCATCGAGAGCGTGCGTGTATGAACTGTGTATCTGATGTCAAGTGATCCAGAGTCCGGTCGTTTCATCTGTGAGTCTGGTCATAACTTAACTCTGGGGCGCTTGTTCAGTTGACCATTAGAGATCGACGCTCGGTATTCAAAGCACTGACACGTGGCACGAGATCCATGACCGGACGCTGGCTCGGGCGCATTCGGTCAACCCGACCGGTGTGTCCGGTCAGTATGCAGGGCGTCCATCCTTGGCTCTAACGGCTCTATTTGTTTGGGGACGTCTATAAATAGTGTTTGGCCGGCTCCAAGGCAACACTCTTGGCATTTTGACATTCCTAACATCCTTGTGAGCCTAAGCAAATACCTTTCACTTATCTCCATTATTGATTCATCATCATAGTGAGATTGAGAGTGATTCAAGTGCATTTGCTTGAGTGATTGCATCTAGTAGCACTTAGGGATCGTTGTGGCTACGGATTTCTTGTTTCTCTTGTTGGTTGCCGCCACCTAGACGGCTTGGAGCAGCGGAGGAGTTTCGGCACGAGTTGATGATTGTCCGTGGCGGGCTCCGGTGATTGTGAGGGGTCTTGTCCCTTCCCCGGCGAAGAGCTGAAAGGTAATTCTAGTGGATTGCTCGTGTCATTAAGTTACCTCACTTGTGGATAGGTTCTTGCGGTGTTCAATTGTGTGGACGAGGTTCGTGCAACACCTCTTGGCCGCCGAACCACCAAGTGTTGGTCGACACAACGGGGACTAGCGGACCGGCAAGAACGTGAACCTCGGGAGAAAAATCGGTTGTCTCTTGCCCCTTGGTATTCTCTCGGTGATTGAATTGGTATTCATCTTATGATTGATTCACTCATCTATGTGGCGATATAATCACCTTACTTACTCATTTACATTCCCACAAAGTAGTTATATCAAACTCTTTAGTGTAGCTAGAATTGATAGTTTTCTTTGTAGCTTAAGTTTATCTAGTGGAGCTCTTTAGTGTAACAAGTTCGAGAGCTATTAGTGACTAGCAACGTAGCTCTTATATGTGCCTTGTGATTATAGCAACAAGAATTGTTTGAATAGGTGGCTTGCAACTCTAGTAGAGTTAGAGCAAAATTGCATTATACCGTTTATCATACTAATCAAATTACTTTAGTAATCTTATAGATTTTTAAATAGATTATTTACCCCCTTTAGTTATATAAGACCTTTCACATGTGCTAGCTCTCGTCGCCGTCTGGGTACGCGTTGCTGGTCGTCTGTCGCAAACACCGTACCGTCCACGTCGACAGAAAACAACTTCACCTACGCGAGTTCTGAGTTCCGACAACCCTGTCTCGACCTCTTCTTCCATGTCGTCCCCGACTCGCCGGCGTCGCCCGTGTGCGAGCTCGTCAACATTGCGTGGGCACACACCCGCTCACCGCGCTCAAGCTTATCGCGAACCTCCATGGCGTGCCGCGGCCAAGTCCGACAGAGAAGGCTTTTCTACGCCGCCACGGTCTGGATGCACGAGCGACATCGTCCCAAGACGCTCGCCTGTAACCTTCCCACGCGCGCACGGCCAAAGCGTTGCCCCTCAGCCCGCCGCTGGAGCTCCCGTGCTTGCTGACTTTGTCAGCGCCGCGCTCTCCATCTCCAAGACAGTCCAAGAGATGCCAGTACAAAGGCCGGTGCTTTTATGAGCTTATGTGACTCTTCGTATTTTAATATCTGTTCTGGCAGGACGTGAACAGTGATTCTGTGAGAGGAAAAATAAGCCAGCTGGCTGGAAACAAGCCAGCCGAACAGGGCCGAAGAGTCACATTCTCTACTGACCTGCTCTCCGTATGAGCTTCGGTGTAGTATGTAGTATTTGCTGAGAGAAGAAGTCGCGTTCGGATACGATACGACGCCGTTAGGCCGTCAGTTTCCAAAACAAATGCAAAACTGCACACGGACACAAATGAAAAAAAAATTATGGCAGAAATTTTGTCTCTTTATCATAAGGTATAGATGTCTTTCTCAGTCAGTTTTTGAACTTCGGCTCTCGTCGGCGCAGCGCCGCAGCCCATCCGCAACAGAAAGAAAAGCTGTACGTATACGTATCACGCTGCCAGGTTTGTTTGGCTACATATCAATCCATCCAAGTTCATGAGTTGGTGGGTATTGAGTGGATAATTAGTTAATTTTCCATCCTAATACTTCTCAAGCCCCGTTCGGCTTGCTAAATCTTGGCTGAAACTGGCTGAAAAATACTGTTCTGGTTGAATTGTTGTGAGAGGAAAAATACTGTTCCGGCTGAAAAAACAAGCCGAATATGAGATAAGCCGAACGTGGATAGACTAAGGTCGATTGATGTACAGCCCAGCAGTAGTGTAGTTTTGCTTGCAATGTAGATTTTTTTTTTGGACAGCATTTGCAATTCTTAATTTTTCATGGTCCAGCTGAACGTGTTACTGAAGGGACTTGATGATGGACTAAAAGGAGGAGAGGGATGAATTAGACAACTTAATAAAAAATAATGATCTCTAAAGCCTACTTATCAAAATCTACGCAAGATACTATTTAGATGTGCACAATGCTTTTGCTAAGTATTGCTGTCTTTACTACGAAAAAGTTATGCAACCTAGATTCTAATCCTATCAACTAGTCTAACAAGCTAAACTTGAAAAAGGTAGGCACACAACCTAGAAAAATCTAGCAAAGTAATCAAGTGCGGAAATGTAAAGAAATGTAAAAGCGCTAGAGAATGCAAACGGTTGATTTAGGTATCGAAAGTTTATATTTCTCCTAGTCCTCGTTAGAGCCTCTCACAAAGATGCCCTCGCTAGGGCCAATCTCGGTGTTGGATAATTTCGTAGATTCCACTGGTCTTCTCCACGCGCAAGTGGACTTCGTGTGGCCTTGTCTCGAACTGTTCCTCACAGTCTTCACTATTGAGCTTCCAGTTCAAACGCCGTGAGCCTTGTTTCTTTCGGTCTAGATTCTAGTCCTATTAACTGGCCTAGGAAGCTAAACTAGGAAAAGTAATCACACAACCAAGGACGAAAACACAACAGGTAGAGAATGCAAACTCCCATTGATAGTCGATTTAGGTATCTAGAAGCTAAACTGAATATATAGTCTCAGGGCAGCCAAGGGCACCTAGACAGATCCTTAAAGAACTACCTTGATACAAGGTATAATGGCTCAAAGGAAGGTAATGTAGCACCCTGATAGATTCTAGGCTGTTTTGGCGATTCTCATTAGCTCCTAAGGTATTTTGAGGTCAGATCCGTACCATTGAAAAGCTTATGCCCCTTGGTTTTCCGTGCATATGCAAAAATGTCAAAAACAGAGTCTTAATGCGACCGATTGGGCATCCAACTTAGCTTGGACGCCCATGTTGCCCTTCTAAGCTGGTAGCCAAGGGGAAGGGTGTCCTAAAGTCCAAGATGGACCCGAACCTGATACTAATTGGGTTTCCTTGTGGTGTTTTAAACTTGGTTTAAGCATGCTTTAACTTGATTTAGGGTCGAAAGGGTGATTACCAGGCTAAGGCAACACCTCACCAACTGATAGAAACAATAGGAACATGTCATGATAATTTGGAGGTCTTGCCACCATGATATTGACGTGAAACTAAATTCATTTGAAAGTCCATTAAACACTCAAGTACCAATCACACTCCGAATGAAAGAGTTATGGTCTTCCTAATCAAATAGTGTCGAGCTACCAACAAACTGAGTGTTTGGTTTTGTTGAGCATTCACTCCAACATCAGTATTGTACGTGGTGTATCCACACTACATCTGTTGTAGAGGCCTCATCATCGTTCTTCCTAAGCAAAATAAAAATAATGGCATTTCGTAATAACACGTTCTTATATCATGATGCAAACATAGAAATGAGTTCACTTTATTTTTAACTTTCAAGGTCGTATCTAAAGGCTGAATGTACTCATCATATATATCCGAGCTTGGTGTGGAGCTATTACGGCTTGATGCGGGGATAAGGAGACCCTTTCCTCAAACCAAACCATGTTGCCGAGGGCAACACAGATCTCAAAACACTGCTCCGGTGTAAGGAACAAAACTGAGCACCTGGTAATCGTTGATAAGCTTTGTCAGACACTCAGACGTGACGGAGAACTCCGATTTCTCATCCTGCTATAGATTGCTGAGCAAACTTACAATTGGTAAAATTTCTCTCCCTTAAGTACGAACTAATAATGCCACATTGGGCCAGATACAAGCGGATTGGGCTTCCGGGTCCTGCCGGGCCGAGCGGACAGGCCTGCTTGAGTTCCTGGAGACGTTTGTCTTTGTCGAACGGTCAATAGTTTTTTTTGAGGGATTGTCAAACGGTGAATAGTGGTAACACAAGAATGACGGCACACCATCGGCTGCCTCGCCGGGATGGAACCGGTGTTGGGGCCTGGGGGAATGCGCTATAACGTGTGGTTGTCGTCTGAACCATCAGTCTTTTGAGCAGGCACAGCATCCACTTCTTATGGAAACAGCAACAAAGCTAGCTAGTCGCTACCGCTAGTGAGCCGCTTCTGTTGGTACTCAGTTCTAATGTTGCCCAGCCAGCATGTCCAGAAACTTCAGCAGTTTACTACGAAA